AAGAATGAGGTGATTTGATAAAATGCTATGCCCAAGATTACCATCCGAGTGCCGGCGGGGAAGTGGTTCATATAGCCTCGGCTATCACTTCCTTATGTCCGGTCGTGATGGTCAAGCGGATTAAGGCGTCCCTGTACATACCAGTTGTGGGAGTATGGGTTCGAGTCACTTCTGGGGTGTGAGTTTTCAGTTGTATATAGTCCTGGGGACCATTCAGGCTTGTTTGCATTTGTGTTCCTCACGTGTGCCCCAAAGAATGAGGTGATTTGATAAAATGCTATGCCCAAGATTACCATCCGAGTGCCGGCGGGGAAGTGGTTCATATAGCCTCGGCTATCACTTCCTTATGTCCGGTCGTGATGGTCAAGCGGATTAAGGCGTCCCTGTACATACCAGTTGTGGGAGTATGGGTTCGAGTCACTTCTGGGGTGTGAGTTTTCAGTTGTATATAGTCCTGGGGACCATTCAGGCTTGTTTGCATTTGTGTTCCTCACGTGTGCCCCAAAGAATGAGGTGATTTGATAAAATGCTATGCCCAAGATTACCATCCGAGTGCCGGCGGGGAAGTGGTTCATATAGCCTCGGCTATCACTTCCTTATGTCCGGTCGTGATGGTCAAGCGGATTAAGGCGTCCCTGTACATACCAGTTGTGGGAGTATGGGTTCGAGTCACTTCTGGGGTGTGAGTTTTCAGTTGTATATAGTCCTGGGGACCATTCAGGCTTGTTTGCATATATATATATATATATATATATATATATATATATATATATATATATATATATATATATATATATATATATAATATCCTAAATGTAAAAGGGATGGGGCTTAATAATGAATGCCTACATTATGAAGTCATTAAGGAAGAAAAATATCAATAGGTAGGCAATCCAAAATAAAAACACCTATGCTACTGCTCAAGTTGATGAGGCATACAAAATCTGACATGGAAAGCTGGCCCAAGTACAGTAGCAGTGAGTTTTATTAAGTTTTACATTCACTCCAACGAAATGTATGCCTATTTTTTCTCTCCTTTTGCATATGTTCACTAAATTTGTTTATAAGGTGCAGTAAAATGAATACAGTAATGTTTGTCAGAAAACAAGGTAAGGTTCCCGCTTCTCGGCCATTAGGCTACTTTTGTTTCAGAGTGGGTTAATAATACTATATGTTTCAAAACTGTTACTGGAAGAGCTCTTTCCCCTACTGTCACATCAGCCATAGGCCCAGGTATGGCCTACCTATGACCAGAGCCAGAACCTGGTCCCCTCACAAAAGCAAAGGAAGCACGAGATTGTTACGTTCACACTCGCCGAGAAATATCCAAATAGTAAGCAAAGCAATAAAGATAATTGCAAGGCTCATAGAAAACAAAGTTCCAAAACAGCCAGATGACTGTAAACCATTCACTCGGAAATGAGCTCAAATCCCTCTAGTTATGACTGGCCACTAACAAATGGCAACACCCTAGTCCTAGCTTTTGCACCATTCTGCCTCAGTCCAGTCGCTGATGTCTGTGAATACAGTACATACTTCCACGAGTCGCCTGCAGTCGAGTCCCACTTCTTTTCAACGTTATGTGTAAGCCATCTTTTGGAAACACTTGTGGAGGGTCATTTGTTTTCATGGCCACCTTTTCATGTTTTCAACTTTGGTGTTTGCTACATGATCATATGTTTCAAGCCTCACACATTGCATGGACTAGATTTATTATTCAGGTTTAGCTTTTGAGTGTAGTTTGGCCACCTCCAGAGTCTGCCCCACCCACTTCAATGGTGGAGATAGATGAACCATCTCTTCCTAATGAGGATTTGGAGCCTTCTGCTTCACTGGGGGGAATGGGGTCTGCCTTGCTCCACTCTGTGGGGCTAGGAGGGAAACCCAAGGGGGGGTCACTGGGTGACAAACACCCAAGGGTGTTTTGCTCCAGGGGAGGACTTCTCTTATCTTTCTATATATGAGAAGGATTACTCAGCTAATCCTTCTCAGGTGCACCTGTGTGTGCTGTTCAGTTCTTCCTAAGCGTCTTATTTCTGGAGGTCGTCGTCTTCTCACATTTCGCCTTCGGGTGGACATCTTTCAATTTTTCGTGCGGGATGAAGACCTCGCTTTCCTTATGGACCCAGCATATTTTTAGTTCAGGTCAGCTTCTTTTGGCTTTGGTACAAGGTTCCTGACTTGTTGATAACCCTCTTCATTCCTTGGGAGCTTGGCATGGCTTTTCCCAATCTCAAACGTTTGAGTGAGAGAAAGTGATTTCCGCCTTCAATGTTCTTAGGCAGTACATCTTTTGCACTGCTTGAGAGTTTTTGCTTCAGTTCTGCCCATGGGCATGTGACAGCTCCATGTCCAGCTGCCTATGCTCTGTTCACATATCTTCTCTTTCCCTCAATTTTTTATTTTTTTACTTTCTCTTTCAGTTTTCTATCTCCATCTCCATTTCTCCTATTCCTATTCCTTCCTCTTCATCTCTTATACCACCTTTGTCTTCACTACCTTTTTATCCCTTTTTAACTCTTCTAATGTCTTCTTGATTTCCCCTCATATTGCCTTCATTTGCTTTTCTCTCTCATCTTGATCTCAATTTGCAATACAAAGTCCCATGTTGCCTTGTTTATTTCTCTCGATCTCACTAGCTCTTCACCACGTTCTAACTCTTCTTTACTCCCTATAATTATCTACTATTATCATCATATTTTATTCCTCTCTCTTGTTTTCTTACAGCTTGTCTATCTTTGCCATGTATTTTCAGCAAATTTTGCGGTATGACAGAGATTACAACTCAAAGTCACTGACTGATAATAGGCTATTTGCTCCTTAGCCTGCTGTTCTTTATCATTTTTAATTATTTTTTCTATATCACATACAGAGATGGTCACTAATTAATACAAAGCATACTTACTCTAATGGCTGCACACATCAAAGTAAAGCACCATGAAATGATTTGAGCAACTCTGTAGCTTCTACATGACAATGCCCTAGTATATACAAGATCTGCAAACACCACTGTCTATGAATGACTAAGTTTTTATATCCCTCTATTTTCCAGACCTGATACTGAATGACTTTACCTGTATTCCATATTGAAGGATTATGTGTGGAAATTGCTTTGTAGATTAGCTGAAGTAGGCTGTAGAGGATTACCAGAATTGACTAGAAGAAAATTCTCTTCCTGAGGGGAATCAAAGGATTCTAGAAAAGATAGAAAAGTATGCACATAGAGCAAGACAGTGGAAACAATGTATCCTGGATGGCATAGTTATTCCATGTACAGTATGTTTGGCTTGGAACATTTTGATCTTTCAAATGGTAATAAATAAAACTTTAAAGAAATCTAGGTTACATATGGTTAACCAGTCATTGTCTTGTATCAAATTTGTGTTATTCTTTTTATCTTGAATTTTTTTTTTTTTTTTTATCTTGAAATACCCATACGACAAATTCAGGTGATGACAATGGAGTTTGTATGGGTAAATATACCCATGTCTGGATTTGAGTCAAGTTGTGAAATTAAATTTTTGTTTGTTCTATGCATTACTTGAAATATAATACATATACAATATATTAGATAAAAGGTTTACCTCAAATATTAATTTAAACAATATTTAATTTCATGCTAATTTTGTTTGGAAAGGGTTACACATATTCACATTGAAAAAAGGTGTAGTAGGAAAATTGTTTTGAAATGGCTTGTTGTCTATATTTGATTATGAGAATGTGCTGATGTCACTCATCATACAGTGGCTAATGCACGTTATTCACATTGGATGAAGACCTGAAATTAACTTCCAAGCAAGGCAAGACTAACATGCTGCAAACTAGTTATTCTGCCAGTGAAACACAAAATTTTTAATAAATCTTATTATGTACAGTATGAATGAAACTCTTAATGGCAAAAGCTGGCTCCAGAGGCTATGTAACAGCTTAACATCTTTGTATTAAATTTACTGCATATTTCTGGGAGGGCTCCCACAATATCTCTCAAAGTGAGGTGCTGATCCAAACTTTAGGTTAATGCACTAGGCCTTTGAGCCCCACCCTTGCTCATGTAGAGCCAGGATCAGAATTTGGCCCTCTAAGAGTTGAGGGCAATTAGGGACCAGATATAAACCCAAAACATAAAAATTCAGTATAATGAAATGCCTCTTTCTGGTGGGTCCCCTCTGTATCTCTCTGAGCTACTCGCTTGTAGTCATCCAAACCCAGGTACTACAAGATCTAATGAATCACAAAAGTGATGACTGTATGGAAGTGTCTGTTTCTGGTAGATGATCAGTAGCTGCTGTCCCTACCCTGCTCCCTCCTACTCAGTGGTGTGTAGTTTTGTTTGAGCCGCTTGCAAGTGAGGGGAAACCAGGTTGGCTGGACAGCCATCTGTAGATTGTCAGAGGTTTACCCTGTGGTAGAGACTGTCTCATTATGTCTGAGTTCAGTATCAAATTTTTAAAACAGATGCTTGTTTTGTTGTACTTTTGCTTCCTGGTGGGAGTTTTTCTCAGTTTTGAATTGCTCTCTGAAAATCCCAAGCTTTCCTCACTTCACAAGAGAGCATTCTGGTTCTTGCTTGTGGTAGAAAGGATGGGCTCAGAAGCGTGGTGTATTTTCCCAAGGCCTAGCTGGACCAGTACTTAACTCGGAAAGGAACCAAGAGTCCACCAGAAAAGGGCTTTGCATTACAGCACAAGTCAGTGCATGATTCTTACAACTGGATAAACACCCCAATTTATCTCACATTGTGGATAACACCTGTTTCCTTTGTACAACAGTACGGTATTATTTTGAGGATAATGTTCAACTAGACTCAAAATAATTAGATAATGCTACATTTACATTTCATGAATTATACCTTAAACTCAAACATTTTGTAATTTAGATTATTTCAGTTAACAGATTGGTGAATAATGGAGCTGCTGCTTTATACAATATACAGTGCCTGGAATAACATCAAATGTCAATAAATGTAGAAATTTAACTAAATTTTCATCAAGGAATCTTACCTGTCATCAGACTCTAGAGTATGTCCATTAACTGACAATTCCTCTTCACATGGAACATCCTGGTTCACGTTAATGGCTGAATTATCCTCTAACGAAAGGTCTGGGCTGCCTCGATCTGGGTACGTGCTATTTACCTGATGATTTTCTATAATAAGTTCATCTTTTAATGAAGAATCTACATTTACTGGCTGTCCTTGATGTTCCTTGTTTTGATTATCTTCATTCTGTGTTTGTTGTGAGTCTTCTTGATAAGCAGGGTTGCCAATTACAACAGACATGTCTCTTAGTCCCAAAGAACCATTAGATAATGTGGTGGGCTCTTCCTTTAACCGCTCAAATTTGAAGCCTTTTTTGCCTTTTCTGAGCTGTTCTGCCACTTCCTCAAAATTCTGATGTGTTGTCTGCTCATGGGCTTCACTGCCATTGTTCATAGTTTCTGTTTTGTTGTTCTCAGATTGAGATGACTCGTTATTTAACGCTTCAATGTTCTGATTTTTTTTTTCTACAACTGCATCCATCTAAAAGAAAAAACTAATTTAAAAAGAATTATGGTTTACAATAAACTAAAATAATTTCTTAATACTGTACAACATAGAAAGTTAAAAAATGTGAAAAGATTTTATTATTATTATTATTATTATTATCCTTTAACTACTCAAAAAATGGATATCACTCTCACTATGAATGATATTGGAAAATCACTACTACTTCAAGTGGTACTATTATACTGGGGTATGATCAGTTTTCTTGGCTGGCCCCTCAGTAAGTCCCACAGACAGGCCTACCAAACATCAGGACCAGAATCTGGTGTGCTCAGAGGAAAGGGAAGCTCGGAATAAAATATAGATCTAGACTCTAAGAAAATTGCCTAGAAAATAAAGATGAAGCAAAACAAACAACAAATCTTGATTCAAGGGAGAAAAACAGCAAAATAAGGCTATTAGTCATTTGTCAATAGTAAACAATCACTGTCAGTATCCATGTGTCACCAATTGGCAGCTCAGGTTTAAACATTTAGACAAAATAATTTAAACCATACATAAATGTTCACACAGTTTCACAGAGATTGGAGATGGTCGAGCTTGGACACCTCGAGTCATAGACTACTTGCCAGAATAACAAACAATAACAAACTCTACTTTCAGACAACACTCAGCCCCCCTGTTTAAATCCCTAAACATGCTATCTTGTGGTTATCTTGAGATGATTTCGGGGCTTAGCGTCCCCGCGGCCCGGTCCTCAACCAGGCCTCCTTTTTGTTACACCCCCCCCCCCAGGAAGCAGACCGTAGTAGTTGTCTAACTCCCAGGTACCTATTTACTGCTAGGTAACGGGCATCAGGGTGAAAGAAACATTTTGCCCATTTGTCTTCGCCTCCACCGGGGATCGAACCCAGAACATCAGGCCTACGAATCCGAAGCGCTGTCCACCCAGCTGTCAGGCGCCCGCTAAATGCTAAACTTTAGCATTTAGAGCTTAACTCGTTTAGAGCTACCCTCTAAACGCCCACTTTATGTTAAACATAAACTCACTCCACACATTCTCTTGTACCATCTACATTTACAAAACCCTGTTCTTAAATGCAAACCCTGTTCTGAAACTCTCCCTGGACAGATGTAATAGGACTCATAATAACCCCACCAGAAATAAATATGTCTTTGATATCCCCCAGAGTCAAACTTAATCTGTGTAAACACTATACAAATAAAGGGACCTAATCTATGGAACTCTCTCCCTAATGAATTGAAAAGCTGTCCAACTTTTGCCTTATTCAAAAACAAAAACAAAAAGTATCTAATTTCATCTTCATGGTTTCCTACCTAGTGCTTTAAACTCACACTGTATCTAGTGCTACCCAATTCCCCAATATACAGTATGTACTTAAACCATATAACTTTACCATTGTAATCATTGATATCATTTTATATCATGAATAAATGGTTGTATCTTATCATGGTTGTTATATTAAATACATATTGTGTGCTACCCAATCCCTCAATATATATGTACCTAATCATACAACTTTACCTTGTGATCATTGCTGTCATCTTATATGTCCTATCAATGTGCCTACTAATCTTTGTCAAATTATCAATCAAGCTATCAATGCTTTCAATCAAAGCTATCAATGTGCTTTAATGTGCCTACTAATCTTTGTCCAATATTCTTACAATGTACCTGTTAACATTTTATATATTTTGCTAGAAATTACCTAGTTAAAATTATGTTAGATTAAGGACTTGTCCGAAACCCTATGCGTACTAGTGGCTTTACAAGAATGTAAACGCACCATGCTATGTACTCTCATAAACCCAATGTACCTTCTTGTACATATATGAATAAATAAATAAATAAGAACAATTTTTGTTAAATAGTACAGAAATCTAAAGTGCTCCACAATACTAATGTATATCAAAGTCTTGAAAATTTTGAAACAAAGTCCAGAATCAATTATTTTGGATTTTCAATGTTTCACCGAAGTGAATTTATGGAAAGAAATTTACATTATTATCGTTGTTATAATATTAATAATAATAATAATAATAATAATAATAATAATAATAGGTGAACATTTGACAAACAAGAGTATCATACCTGATATGGTTGTGCCCCTGGAAGACCGACTTCCATGGCTGATACAAGTGCCAGTTCATCTAGTGCTAATTTTTTTTTTCTATATAAATAGCAACCACCACCTAGAGCACCCAAAACCAGTGCTATGGCAAATAAACCACCTGAAAATAGAATACCAATTGTATTGGGTATACAGTACAATATTGCAAATTGACTATATGCAGTATTTGTTTTTTTTATAATCTAGTTCCTCACACTATCTTCTTCGTGAAATTAACTCCAATTTTAACAATATTATGTAATTAAAAAATAATTCATTTACTGGGGCCAGGAAGCCTGCGGCTAACATTACATAACAGTATGTAATGTCAGTCACTTTTAACTAATGGTGCCCACTAGGTATATACTTTAGACATACATCAAGGTCCCTCCAACGTCGAACTAGTGACTCTCCCCTAGATCCAACCTAACAACAGTTGCCTAACTCCTGGGTACCTATTTACTGATGGGTGCACATGTGAATTAGATGAAAGGAGACATTTCCAACAATTTTTCTCCTGCCTGGGAATCGAATCCAGGATCCCAATTAAAGAGTTGAGAATGAAGCCAACTGTACCCAACCTCTCCCACAGGACTAGTTTAAGACTTTTGTCCAGCGGTGACACAGTCTGCGTCAATAAATAAATTGATGGTTATCCGCTGATGACGCATGTTGTGTCAAAATTTAAAATAATTCTTAAAATTATATTGTTTATCTGATCATTTTAAAATGTGCGCCATTAGATTGCAAACAATTTGATACCAAAATGAACGACATAGCACAACAATTGAGGTCAGAACACTGGAAAGATTATAAATATTTGTGGTGATGAGCATCCAAAATTAAAATACAGTATTTGTTAAAATTCCATTTACTGTTCAATTATTATGATACTAGTTTTAAAATGTGCGCCTTTAGATTGCGAACAATTTTATACCAAAATGAACATCATAGCGTACAAATATGAAAGAGTACATATGTTAGTATGGGTGCTAGGAAACGACAGGCCCACTTTGAGGTGGGTTGGGGCACACCGGGTGCGCAAAAGTGTTAAATTAATACAGTGAAACAGTGTGACTGTCGATACAGATACATTGTATAGTACTGTATATGACTTCCATGACCCACTCCAAGCCCTCACTGCACACTATGATCTTTTATCCTTCTCTGATTTTAGTTTATTTTGCATAATGTAAAATCAGAACTCATTTTAACATATATAGTATTGTATTTGTGTTGTGTGTGCGTGTGTCTGTGTGCATGTGTGTGTGTGTGTGCGTGTGCAACTGACAATCATAAAACACTTACCAGCCGAAATATTCAACATTTCCTTTCCATTTCTCTGTGGCTTTTCTGCATATATATATACTGTATATATATGTGTAAACTTTGTATATATATGTGAACAGTGGAACCTCAGTTTTCAAATGCGTTTTCTAATTTATCGGTTCTTGAACTCAATTTCTTTGAAAAATTTGACTCTGGATTCGAGGTTTGCTTTGGTGCTCGAGTTTGTCGATACACGTATGGGCCGACCGAGCGCATTTATAAAATTCATAACACACAACACATTTTCCCATAAGAATTAATGTAAATTGAATTAATCCATTCCACAGTCCCAAAAATATTAACTTCAAAATACATTTCATACATAATACCCACAAATATTTTGTAGTATGGTATGTACAAGTTATAGCTTACCTTTAATGATGACTCTTGTTGGCGCATGGATGATGGTGAGGAGGAGGGGGGGGGGGCCAGTGTTTGGAAGGGAAGTTCCCTTCCATTATGACATCAGGTAGTAATGACTTCTCTGGGGTGTACTCTCCTACGTTTTGCAGGCATACCACTAGGACCTGGTTGTGGTTCACTGCCACTTTTCTTTCTAAGAATCTGTCTAAAGACACTTGTTTTTCCCTACATTTTAACACTTGTCTGTATTGAGACATCACATTGTCATTAAAAAGGTCAATGCAACAGCCTGCTACAGTTTTATCTGTGAGTGAGTTTTTTTTTTGAGATATATACAAGAGTTGTTACATTCTTGTACAGCCACTAGTACGCGTAGCGTTTCGGGCAAGTCCTTAATCCTATGGTCCCTGGAATACGATCCCCGGCCGCGAAGAATCGTTTTTTCATCCAAGTACACATTTTACTGTTGCGTTAAACAGAGGCTACAGTTAAGGAATTGCGCCCAGTAAATCCTCCCCGGCCAGGATACGAACCCATGACATAGCGCTCGCGGAACGCCAGGCGAGTGTCTTACCACTACACCACGGAGACTGTGTTTTGTTTTTTCAACAAAACTTTGTACAGTAGTTCTTCCCCTATGTCACACATTTTCTTAATGAGGAAGGGACATCCTCCACTGCCTCTACTCACAAAATATTAAAATTCTTAGGCTGAACCTTACCACTGAATTTCTTGGGACCCATGGCATGATATATATAATAATTATTATTATGTTCAAAAACCATAAAAGCCGAAAAGATTTTTTTTTTTTTACAAAGAATTAAGCGTGATCGGCATTATCCATGAGGCATTGGTAAACTGAGGCAGGGTCACCCGTGCCACCAGGAACCAGGCGCTCGGTTGACCCTTACGGGTATCAACAAAGTCGCAAGTCGAGGCAAAGGTCGTAACCCGATTCAAATTTTCCGACGAAATTGGGGTCGTAACCCAAAAAATTCTTAAGTAGGGACATTCGTAAGTTGAGGTTCCACTGTACAGTACTGTATATATATTTATAGTATATATTTTTTACGTGTCTATAATTAGCTTTACCTTTCCTTCATTGCATATTAATGCAAAATACATTTAATAACTTTTTAATTTCAATTTCAGCTACCAACTGATATTATCCAACAAAGATTTGTCTGTGCCTTTCACTCAATTATTTGCAATAAAATCCACACTTGAAAATAATTGTAATTAAACTATTACAAAATCACAAATTTACAAGTAAATGACAAACTACTTACCAATAATCCAAGGTATGTAGTCCTGTCCCACTTTGCTGAATAGACAATCATTTGTTGAGCCAATGTATACTGTGTGGTTTAGGAATTCTGCTTCTTCCCACTTATCAATGCTTAACTCTGCTACAAATGATGCCTGTAATTATTGCATGCTTTGTAATTTGTGTTTTTAATGGCAATTCAAATATTGGTATAATCCTTTAATAGCAACAATGAGATACTTGTACAGAATATTTATAATAATGTTAATAGCAACAGGAATAAACTAGTGCTTTTGCAAGAATTTTAGTAGGAATTATACTGGTGCAATAAATTTCTCAAATTATGTCACCACGTGTTAAGGGCTACAGATTATATCTTGTCAGTGTCATTAATGTTGATAGTGAACAAATATTCTAATCAGGTATGGATTAAAGTGAAGTAAAATTGTTAGGGTAAAGTATGTGAGCAATCCTATGTGTTAGAGGGCGAACAAGTGTATCCAGTGGTGCTAGTGGGAAATCAAGAGTATAATCCCACTGTGTGTGTTATATATTCTATTGCAGTACAGTGTACTGTATCCTTATAAATTCCTCATTGTGAAACATAAAACACTGCCAGGGGCTTCATTTTTTTTTAAACTACCGTACTTCCCAGAACATTCACCAGGTTTACCAGGGCAGTGTTTCATAAACATCATGAATGAAACATGAAAAAAAAAAAAAAAGACGTACAAATGACTGTGCATCACACTCCACTAGAGAGAAAAGGACCATTGCACCAGAAACTACAGTGTTCAGGATAAACGTGTCATCTTAACTTAGAAGAGACCTCTGTCCAACAAAGATTGTTTGACAAGATATCAAGTCTGGGAGAAAGTGAGGTGGGCAACTCCTTATGCTCAGTTGACAGGGTAATGACACCTGATGGCAGTGATGCTTGATGGTCTGTTTGAAGCTGAGCATCACTTGGAGGCTTTGTAAGTTTATGAATGAGCCTACTGGGGTTCATTCTGAAGTGGATTCTGAAATCTTCACTGTTAATCTTTCTCCACATGGTGGGGGCATTTCAGAAGATCCCTGCAATCCTGAGGAGTTGTCATCATCCTGGCCTGGCTGTTTGGTCATGTGCTTGGATCTAGCTCAAATTTCTTTTTATTATTATTATTGTTTTAATACAGGCATATTAAAGCCTTTTAACAAATTTATAAATCATGGGTGCCATTTAAATCATAATCTGTTAGTTTAAGGTATTAATGTAGTACAGTGAACACTATTTAATTGAAATTTTTTTTAAATAAAACAAATATACTGTACAGTACTGTAGTGGGTAAATAAATAAGCATGGTATAAATATGTCATGTTAGCCTAGCATGGAAGGGTAACACGTACTGTACACTGTACAGTATCTAGAATTCACAAATTTATGAAACTGCAATAGCTTAGCACCAACTATTTTGGATACTTGGCCATTGCTTACTGAATATGGTACAAACAGTACTAAAATATTTTACATAACTAACCAAAACATACTTTGGGGGAAAAACAGCTTTTAAGATTGTATTACAAACCTCAATAGCCACAAAAGAAGAGTTGTGCATGTTGAACAACCTCTCGGGTACTCGTGCATACAGGAAGACTGGCGCATGAGGTGCCACAGGGAGTAACAACCCAGGAATGAGAACTCTTTCATTCTGGTTCGATGTAACAAAGGTGTACTTCCAGTTATGGCGGGTGCTGTTCTGATACTGATACTGTGAAAATAAGTACAAAATAAAATAACTAACAATTATGTATGCTGCACCAGCAGAAAACCATACATTAATTATCCCATTACTACAATATTATAAAATTAATGTAGTTATTCTGTAAATCTAAATTAATGTACTGTTTATCTTATAAAAAGAACCTATTTAACTGTATTGGACAGCATGTCACTACCCCCTGAAGAGGAGAAGGAACTGAATGTACAGCACCTCAAAGCTAAAGCCATAGCCTCAACTGACCCACAGTATATACACTTTAGTTATACTAAGGGGTATACTGTGGGTATACCCCTTTATATACTACTCACAGTTACCTACTACTAAGAATGACACTGTAAATCAACAATCTACCCATTTGTGATAAAAACAGTAAAGTATATGTAATAATAATACTGTACTGCTACTTAAGAATAAAAAATGAACATTAAATGCTATACATTACCATATTGAATACCATGTTTTTTCATTTGGGTACTTCTGATGGTCTTCATGGCTCTGTTGTATTGGTCCTGGGGTTTCAGTCCTGGCTTTTGAGAGACTGATCAGTGCCGATGCAACTTAGTGTGAATGGATTCAATTGTGTGGGAGTATAATGTTCCCAGTACAATCTTCTGCATTTGGTGCCCGTTTTGGTCATAAAAACTGAACACATTTGTTATACATGACCTTCCTATTTAAAAACCATATTGCCTGTTACTTGTTATGTCATTTCTTTCAAGATATTTTCCTTGTGTAACATTAATTACCTTCTCCAGTGATTTGGTTACTACATCTGTTAATGACACTTGTATTTATATATGAAAGTTTTGTGTTAAAAGTCCTATTCAGTAATAATGTAGGAGTCCTTGGAGCTAGTAGGCAATGATGTCTAGTTTGGCTTTTTGGAGTCTGTAAATATTAGAGATAATGATGGCTTCATGCCTGAAATATAATTACACAGCTTGTATGTTAGCTGTTTCACCACAAACTACTGGATTCTTATCCTGCTTGTATGGAATGTAGGAATTTATTGTTATCATACTTTCTTCTCTTCCTGGAATTCTGTCAAGTTTGATCTTTTGTCAGTTAGGATACCTCATGATCTTTTGTCATAACTGCTTCCTGCATAAGAACAATATTATCTTTGTGCAAGCATCTCTGTAGTGAGTATTGTGCTTAAACTCTTGCACATTACATTGTATGATTTTGATGATTATTTTATGTTATGTCTTTTTTATTGTTTACTCTGTTACTATCATAATTGGAGGTGCTGCTTATCAACTCATTTTAAAGTTCTGTTAGCTATTTGGTGTCACTTGAGAAATTCTGCTGTAGTCAGTGTTTTTTCAAACCTGGTGTTGCTCCTGCTGCTGCTGTTGGAATTTGGAGTGGGTGTACAGTTGGTAGGGGATGCTAGTTATTTGGGTCCTTGTTTGTGTATTGACAATGTTCTTGTTGTGGAGTACAGTATACCTGTAGACAATCTTTCTCCTTCTGCATATGAATATTTTGCTGTGTTAATTGTGAAGTAATTCCCTATATTGCAAGGTAGTATGTTCAAGTTTTTTGTTCTGCAGCTTTAATTGTTGTTTTTTCTGCTGTAGTTTCTGTAGTTCTTTGCCTTGCAAATTTGTACTCTGTTATATATTATCTAACAGCTGGATTATCCTGTTCAGTATTTGATGCACCACTGTATGCTTGATGCTGTTACTAGAATATGTGCTGTAGTCCTCTCTTGTCAGTCTGAGATGGGGTTGCTGAATGTAGGTTTAGAGAACCATTGTTCTATATCTGACCTTCCCTCGAGGGATAGGTGGATACTCTGTTGTTGATTGTTCATTTGCTGCCATCTTGATATGTGAAATTATCCGTGCTGTGGTCAATTGCTGAAAATCATGGTTGAATTGCTGTTGCGGTTCCATATCTTTGTGAGCTTAATTTTTTGATCTGGCATGGCATACCCTGCTCCAAGCATGGTGGCCAGTTTGAGCATGAAACATTTTACTCTGTTGTTTTTTCCCCTTGCATTCTGTTAAAGTGTAGCATCAAGTACTGTATGCTCCATATTTTACTCTGTAGTTGCATCTGGCTTTAAGCATTCATTGGATTCTGCAATGAATACCTGATGCTGCAAACTTCCCTAGCATCCATCCATTTCTAGTGGTGGGAACTCTTCCTTCCACTGGAGAATGACTTCATTGCTGGGGATTTAGTCATTTCCTATTTTACATCTTTTACCTGAAATTACTTGTGGTAGCATTTTCTTGAACTTATTAAGTGATCCATATTGTAACAGAAAAAGAAGGGAATTTTATTGTTCTCATAGTTGAAAATCTTGAAAAATTTGTGCAGTATACCAGCTCCTAAAAAAAAAGTCAGAGCAAAAAAGAAAATAATAAGCAGGTCGCCATTTATTCGAAGGATGATAGACTATGAAGGTAAGCAATATAAAGTTAACTAATAGAACTGGCATGTAATAGCCTGGAGACACCAATGATTCTCAAAGGAGACGGGTTTCAAGATCCAGGGTAAATGGGTAGTGCAGGGAAGGAAGGAAGGATGATGCCGCACTAACACATCATCATGACATGCATGACACATACTGTAGGGACACTTACTGCTATTAGGAAGGTGATATCAAGTGGCAGGTGACAATGATTAATTATGGCAGTTGCCTCTATGTGCTCCTCCAAGATGTTCAGGATACACGATGACACATAGTTTTCAAGGTGACACACACACACACCTGGGGAAGGCAAGGAAGTTACTATTAAATCAGTCTATCCTGCTTAGATTACTAACCAGAATACCATCTTCCTGCACACAAATAAATGGACTTCGCTGTGTCTATACTAACTTCATCATAAAACATCTACACCTAGTAAATTTTGCACATATGTAAAAATCGTGAGAATTGCTCAGAAATTGAATTTGGAATACTGTCTCAAAGTTGAAAATCCTGTTCATACAGAAAAATGAAGGTAAACGTCTCAACAATAAATATTGTACATGTAGTTCGAATTGATGTCATATCTTGTAAGTTTTAATAAATATTGCTTGGCATTCATACTCAAATATGTGAAAGTTGAAGGTCAATATCTGTTGAAATTAAGTCAAGAAAAAATAACTCCCTCCAAAAAAACAAAATATGATAATTGTAATGGGTTAGGGGATATATAAGTACTGTATACTGTTTTTTATATAAATGATAAAACCCTCATCTGGTCTCCATTCAGCAAAAAGAACCTAAAGCGACAAAGAAAATAAAGCTTTAAATCTGTAAATAACTCAGCCAAAAAATTAAAAGTCACAAGTTCTGCCACTTATGGCTGAATTACTTGCTGACCAATTTCATTCCAACTTCACATACTTAATGATGGGTATGCATTCTCCAAGATGTAGAAGCTTCAACAAAATCAAATTATAAACAAAGGAGAAAAAAAAATTGAAAAAAAAATATATATTGTTGGACATAGTGGAACTAACAGATATTGGGATTGGGCAATGCATTTATATGATATACAGTATATTAAAATACAGCAACATAACATACTTACTCATTATTATTTAAATTTTGCCCTCCAGTTGGCAACCAGAAATCCTAGAAAGCATCAGCTGCATATCTACTTTCTGGACCCTCATTATTTTTTTTTTTTTTGACTACTACTACTGTAGTAGATTACTACTACTACTGTACTATTCTTCTTTGTGCGTCAGACAGGTGCTTGCATCTCTTAATCACTGCATTATCCATGAGTTCCACTAACTAAATGTAATTCTTATTGTGAGTACTGGTTACCTTGTGGTTACCTAGTGTTGGTTTTGGGGCTCAGCGTTCCCGCGGCTCGGTCCTCGACCAGGCCTCCTCATTGCTGGACTGGTCAACCAGGCTGTTGGACGCAGCTGTTTGCAGCCTGACGTATGAGTCACAGCCTGGTTGAGCAGATATTCTTTGGAGGTGTTTATCAAGTTTTCTCTTGAACACTGAGAGGGGGTCGGCCAGTTATTTCCTGTATGTGTAGTAGAATAATGTTGAACAGTCTCGGGCCTTTGATGTTCATAGAGTTCTCTCTGGGTACTTATTGCACCTCTGCTTTTCAATGGGGGTATTCTGCACATCCTGCCATGCTTCCTGGTCTCATGTGGTGTTATTTCTGTGTGTATGTTTGGGACCAGCTCCTCTATTATTTTCCATGTGTAATGGTCCCCAGTTGAGTTTTCAGTTTCATATAGTCCTGGGGACCATTCAGGCTTGTTCGCATTTGTGTTCCTCACGTGTGCCCCAAAGAATATATATATAAATATATAAATATATATATATATATATATATATATATATATATATATATTATATATTATATATATATTATATATTATATATATATTATAAACACACACACATTATATATATATATATATATATATATATATATATATATATATATATATATATATATATATATATATATATATATATATATATATATATATATATATATATATGCACACACGCCATTTAAAGAGGAGACATAATTCCATCATCTCCTGCTTAACGGTAGCAGGTCATAATGATACATGTCAAGAACCTTGGAGAATCAGTCTCCAGCCGTGAACTCGTAACTTCCTCGTGACCTTGGCCCTGGTGTGGCAGAGCACAGTCTCTCTCCACAACATACCTGTTTCCTTGGAAGGTTGGGCCTCGTGCTTTTCAAATACTATTACATTACATTCATCATATTGATCAGCCAAAATATCTTACGTCATATCTGTATGAAGGCTTCTTACAGAGGGACTTAGTGTTTAAATTAAATGCCGAACCAGCAACTCGATTTATGTACATTCCATGTAATTACCGTATTTGTTAAGCACCAAACTCTACCAACTAGTTCACCAAAACACACGTTATCCTGCAGTAAATATTAAAATATTAAGTTTCCCAAATAATTTCCCATAAGTAACAGGAAATAACCAGTGATGTTATTTTTTCCACTGCCCCAAACAAGAAAATAGTGATGGGCAACCGCCGGCCAGACAATATTCCCACCACCACCTCCCCACCTGCAGGAAAACACAAGCCTGAAACATTTAACAAATCCTAATAACCGAAGTTTGCATTCTGTATTTTTAAATTGCACATCAATGCATAAACCACGAGCTGGCAATAATCCCCGAGGTAGACATATATAGAGAGATGAAAGATCAGTGGGAGTGGAGGTGGCTGTTACCGGCAGTGGTGTACAGCCGGTCCTTCACCACACCCTTCACGCCCATCCTGCCGCACCTGTCACTCTCTTCCCTCAAATTTTCCGCCACCCTTACCGGCTACCCCGTGATAATTAGTTAGTTATACATTTATTACTGGGTGATTTGACTCTAATTTCTAACCGTAGGTTTATGTGTGTTAAAAGGTACCATAAATTAATTCAGAATTCAGTGAGAATGATGTATCACGATAATATATAGAGGTACTGGACTACAGAGCCAGACTATATGAACTTGAACTTGTATGAAATCATATCCTTGAGGGACTTGAAGTAGACGGGGGTAGAAATAGCCTAAGCTACTCTATCCCTTTGAGATGTATTTTTTTTTCTTGTCTCAATAAACATACTTGAACTTGTGGGAAACCCTGGTTCGGCATCAGTCGAAGCCTCCGGAATCCTCGAGGGTAAACCCCCCCCTTTTTTATTATTCCTTTTTTCAACACAATTTATACTTTATTCTCAATTACTAATAAGTTTTAGTCTAAGTGTCTTTCTTCCACATCTTGCCCGAAACGCTATGCGTACTAGTGGCTTTAGGTATTATATGTACTAGCTCTATCTATAAATCCAACATTATATTTGAAACTCATTATCTATGTATGTACTTTTACTTGAATAAAAATTTGAATTTTGAATTTGAATTTGAGTAGTACCCTAGGTTGCAATTCTTTGACCATGTGGGGTACTCGTCTAGAGCGTGCGTCTGGGAACACCCAGTGCATAGGTTCGAATCCTCATCACGGCTCCTGTGGATTTTCTACAGTAATCATTTGTTTGCCTACTCTTGGAGTCTGTCAAGGTCACTACCTTGTGGTTACCTTGTGATGGTTTCGGGGCTTAGCGTCCCCGCGGGCCTTTACGGGCTCACTATAGCCCGTGCTACATGGACACTTCGTCCTGAGTAGCTAAATCTGAAACAACAACCCGCGGCCGGGCCTCGACCAAGCCGCGGACTGGTCAACCAGGCTGTTGGACGCGGCTGCTCGCAGCCTGACGCATGAGTCACAGCCTGGTTGATCAGGTATACCTGGTTGATACCTGGTTGATGGGGTTCTGGGAGTTCTTCTACTCCCCAAGCCCGGCCCGAGGCCAGGCTTGACTTGTGAGAGTTTGGTCCACCAGGCTGTTGCTTGGAGCGGCCCGCAGGCCCACATACCCACCACAGCCCGGTTGGTCCGGCACTCCTTGGAGGAATAAATCTAGTTTCCTCTTGAAGATGTCCACGGTTGTTCCGACAATATTTCTTATGCTTGCTGGGAGGACGTTGAACAGCCGCGGACCTCTGATGTTTATACAGTGTTCTCTGATTGTGCCTATGGCACCTCTGCTCTTCACTGGTTCTATTCTGCATTTTCTTCCATATCGTTCACTCCAGTACGTTGTTATTTTACTGTGTAGATTTGGTACTTGGCCCTCCAGTATCTTCCACGTGTATATTATTTGATATCTCTCTCGTCTTCTTTCTAGTGAGTACATTTGGAGGGCTTTGAGACGATCCCAATAATTTAGGTGCTTTATTGCGTCTATGCGTGCCGTATATGTTCTCTGTATTCCCTCTATTTCAGCAATCTCTCCTGCTCTGAAGGGGGAAGTGAGTACTGAGCAGTACTCAAGACGGGACAACACAAGTGACTTGAAGAGTACAACCATTGTGATGGGATCCCTGGATTTGAAAGTTCTCGTAATCCATCCTATCATTTTTTCTGGCTGTCGCAATATTTGCTTGGTTATGCTCCTTAAACGTTAGGTCGTCAGACATTATTATTCCCAAATCCTTTACATGCTGTTTTTCTACTATGGGTACATTTGATTGTGTTTTGTACTCTGTATTATGTTTAAGGTCCTCATTTTTACCGTACCTGGAATTTATCACTGTTAAACATCATGTTATTTTCTGATGCCCAGTCGAAAACCTTTGGAGATGTCTTTGGATGTCGTATCCTTTGGAGATGTTTATAGAGTTCTCTCTTGAACACTGTGAGGGGTCGTCCAGTTATAGGTCTTCCTGTAACTTTCTGCAGTCCCCCCTTGTTCCTATATGTCTCATTTGTTTAGTATTGTCTACAATGTACTCATCTAATTATGCTTGCGGGGGTTGAGCTTCGGCTCTTTGGTCCCGCCTCTCAACCGTCAATCTACTGGTGTGCTAATATATATTAATTTATATTTGAGAAAATCCCTATTGTGAATGAACAAGTTAAAATTTATGAATGTGTCTTTGTGGTCGACCGCTGGATGGAATGAACATAGACTGAGGACGGATGTCTTATATCTTGTGTGTGTTAATAGGTGGAATCTTTAATGGATAACATCTATTTTTTATAAAAAGTGTTTTAAGTGAGTGTGGACCGACAATAAAACATATACAGTACTTCCATTACAAGCACCGCTACATAAACAAATAGAATAGGTCTTTAAGTTTGCAAAATGTGAAGTATGACCCATAGAGAAGGAACATCTGTTGGTTATGTTCTATAAAAAC